CAGCGATGCTGGGGTTCCTCGTCTCTGCGGCTCCACCATGGTCTGTCGTCCCCTTGGCTCCAACATGGACTTCTGGGCCTTTGGCTCCACTGGGGTCCTCCAAAACATGAGGAGATGACAAGAACATGCACTGATAACTCAAACATTAAAGGGAGAACAATATCGTGCCGATGTGAGCAATAGATAACACAAGAAAAATTCAAAATAGGAATATGCACATGAACGAGACGATGATGACAAGAAATGCAAGGAGATGTAGCAAACACGCAAGCATGAAGCACAGATGACTTAAATATAAAAGATGGCTTGTCGATGCCTCTGGCTCTGCTGGCGTCATTCGTCTCTACGGCTCCGCCTTGGTCTGTCGTCCCCTTGGCTCCAACATGGACTTCTGGGCCTTTGGCTGCGTCTGAACCCTCCAACACTTTGGCTCCACTGGGGTCATCCATAGTATGAAGAGATCACATGAACGCACATTTATAAAACACTAACTCACACGGAGAACAATCTTTTCAACCAAAAAATGCTTGATTATGCTTGATTATCTTTTCAACGAAGCCAAATGTTCGCATTTGTGTCACAGATATGATATAACATGCAGCAAAACATGTATTCACACATCAGCAGCTTTACAGTGCCTTTATACCCCCATGAGCAAGTCAAAGGCGACAGTGGCAAGGAAAAACGTCCTTTGGTACAACAAGTAGAACACATAGAAAGAAACCTTGTCAACAAGGTCAAAAGAAACAGGTGTCAAAACCAGGACTTACCTGTACTCCCAAAAGTAGTTACCTAGGCAGGACTGTCCCTATGGGTCGTTTCACTATCGCTTCATACAACCAATGTGACAGTTCTGTGCACAGGTGATCCTTGGAAATGACTGAATCATACTTTTCAGTGTATGAATGGTTCTCCAACAATGACTCTGAAGATCCTACAGATGGTTATGTCAGGGATACTTGTGCTGAGAACAGCCACACATTGAACATATTACATCAGCCAAGTAAAGTCTGTGAAATGTATTCTAAAAAATACATTAAACGAAGTTTTTAAAGGTTGCTTCTTACACTAACACTTTTGATTTTTCTTAAAAAGACTTACCACTTATAAATGATTTTTGTAGCTTATATCCAGAGGTTTGTCAAAAATAAAAAGATGGAGCATTCTGAACAATTTTTCTTCTGGTCAGACCTCTGAAGTCGGCTACATTAATGCAGGAAAACAAATACAACCTGAGAAGTTTAGCTTAGCCACTATCACCCGATAACTGTGATAGCCTACTCAACAAGATTACCATGTTAATTGTTTTTTTTACCCATTTTCTTATGGCAGCAGCGTGACCACTCCAAATAAAAACAGTAACATTTCCAATATGCAAATGAACCATAAACGAGATATAACATTTTTAGATTAACTATTTTCATACTTTTACACTGACAGGTGAACCGTACGGCAGCGGTCAACAAATACTCAGTTAGCGCATGCACTATGACGTCACAAAGCGGGAGCCGCATTTTGAATGCATATTCCGAACCCGATTTGCATAATAATAATAATAATAATAATAAACAGTGCACATTTAAAAATAAACCCATCTTCCTTGTTTGTAAGTTAAATTTATGTTACAATAACTTCGCAACTTTTTATCATGTAGCACACCAAATACACAAAATAATGATCTTTAAAATAGCATCATATGACCCCTTTAATATAATTATGCAAATACCAGAGCATTCATTCCAAAGAGACAAACCTTACTAATAAAATTAAGTGAATATAACTTATTTTGAATAAAGGACATATACTATGTTAATACCAAGGTATTTTGGAAGTATACTATGGCAATACCATGTTTTTACAATCATAGTGGTACATGGTATCATTTGAAGTATCATTTGGAGTACCATCTAAGTATGGGTTAAATTAACCCTCTCTGGTATTGTTCATTTGCGGTTTACACTTGTGTTGAAATGTAACTTTTTTATTTTCAGTAAAATCAATGTAAAATATGTTTGTTCAATAATATTTTTTTCTTTGTTTCTTTTGTATTTTGAGAAAATTTCATGATATATTTATGCAATAATTATGATCATTTTTCCCCATTGAAAAGAATAAATTTTTTGTAAGATTTTTTTATATTACTTTTCAACTATGGCAGTATTTCGTGTTAAAAGTGAGTCAATGCCTTTAAAGGCAGAGTAAGTGATTTTTCAAAAACACTTTAGAAAACTGATTCGGGCCGAATCGCAAAACAAACTTGTAGCCAATCAGCAATAAGGGGCGTGTCTACTCGTGATGTGGAGGAGAGCGCGTTCAGTGCATGGGACGGACATTAGCCGAGCCGAGCGACAGAAAGATAGAGATGGCGGATAAAAAACAAAAGAGGAAAACGTCTGCGGAACGATAAGGCAAGAAGTAGGACCCGTGTAAATATCGGATCAGCTTTCCAGCGCTGGAGAGAACTCAAGGAGCGGAGGCCTGCGATCGGACGCCGAGGTCGCTTTGTTTCTTCTCAATAGGTGAGTAACACCGTGTCTACAACAGCTAAAGTCTGCCTACGCTGGACGCGATCAAACGACCGTTGAAAACCATTTGAAATGTGTGTCAGCACATCATAAATAGAACCCGGCAGCAGTTTTCTGTCGGGGATTTGTTGCGCCGCGCCGCTCACGTCCGTAGACACGATGTAACATTGGTTTTGCTTTGTTTCACAGAACTAATCGTTGCCTGGGTTGTGTACGTATATGTGGGGCGGAGCTATCAAAATAGGGGCAAGACCCTTTTGGGGTAGGGGCGTGTTTGTTTTGGTGATTTCAAATATCAACATTGGCTACCAGAAATCACTTACTCTGCCCTTAAAATCCAATTTTTGAAGGCAGATTATCTGGTGGGAGTAAAAAAAGAAAAACATCTGCAATTCCATGGTTTAGCCACTAGATTCCTATAGAGCTCTATATAAAAAGGCTTTTAGACATACATACTTATTTTTGTTAAGTTGTGGCTTTTGGATATATATTTAGACATTCTCAAAGACAAGTTTTTGTAAAGGATTAGAATTGTTTGTTTGAAACGTTGGTGTGAAATGTTAGTTTTTGCATTAATTTTAATACAGTCAAACCTGAACACAGAGAAAGACATTTTGTTACACATAACATCAAAATTCAACAAAAATGTAACAAAGATGAACAGAAATGCTTTATCAGAAGTTTCAACCTCTTATTTGAGTCTTTTGGCTCAATTTTGCCATATTGTTACAGCCACACCAGTTCATTTGTGTGTATATAACAGTGTGTTGTGTGTGTGTCTGTCTATCTGTGAATGTTTGTTTGAGTATGTGTGTCTGTTTTTTTTCTCTTGAAGTTTTAGAGTGTCACCCCTTCCTTGGTGTCTGTTTTTACTGCATTGTGGCTAAATTATTGATTTTATTTCACGTATCTGCAAAAACATACTTTGTATTACAGTCACACGTGATTCTGTTGTTGTGAGAGGGATGCTGTTTGGTGCTGGTTGTATTTATTTGTGATGTGTTGTAACCTGTTGATGTTTGTATTGTTAATTATTGTTGTTGATCACTGAAGAGTTGCCACAGATACAAAAAGAATTTCCGAAAGGACAATAAACTAAACTAACTAACTAACTAACACTAGTTCATATATGTGTGTCGGTGGGTGGAGTGTGTCTGTTTTGCACTCTTGATATTTTGGAGTGTCACCCCTTCATTGCTGTGCACTTCTTTTCTGCATCGTGAATGATTTGTAGATTGTACACAAAAAAAACTCTGTATTTTCGTGTTTTTGCGTATTTCCCATTCATTTCCAATGGCGGTCATTTTTGACCACGAACAACACAAGTGTGATTATTATTTATTTTTTTCTTTACGGCCATTTAGCTTTTTCGAATCAAGTCCACGATTTTTTTTTGGTCACATAGTGTCTGCCATAAAAGCCATCGAGTTTCGTATCATTCTGATTAAGTAGCGAGAAATTTCTAAAAAAAATTTCCAGTCTAAAATGACCGAACACCAGAGGGTTAATAGTTATATTTAAGGATGCTGTTCAAGCTTACTATCTTAAATGTAGGAAAATGCAACCCTGAAGAAGTAATCAACAAAGTGGGCTGCAGTCCTTAAAAAAACACCATGCCATATTTTCTTTAAAATATTTATTTCACGCTAATACTTCAAATCTATTAATTAGCATATAACTTAAGACTTGCTGATATAAAATTATAATTAACCTTTATTTGGACTATTTCTTTATTGCACAATGCACATTTATTAATATTATGCTTAAAATGTGTTTTAATATCACTATTAATAAAGATTGTATGATCTTTAAATGCTAGATTTTTAAAGTGTCCTGCAATAGCTCCACTTTAGCACAATCAAATACACTTAAGTATATCTTTAGTTGGACCTCAGCACTACTTCCGCACAATTACATTGCATTAAGCACAAAATTAGTTGTTCCAATTTAGCAGACTTTATGTATACCAGTTTATTATACCAAAAATACAATTGCAGGGTATTTTTTATAAAGCACATAAAAGTATTTGTAGTATACTTGGCACAAAACAAATGTATTTCAAATACATTTTAGTACATTTTTTTTCACTAGGAGTCTTATCTATATGTTAAACATGTTTGTAGCAAACAAATCTTAATGCACCAAACTACTAAAAACTGCACTAAATTTACAAAAACGGGATAACAAATGAAACCAGGCACATACATACAGGATCACAATATTATTTGGTTTGTTATTTTTTGACACTTACATTTACAACTAAGAGTGAGTCATGAATGAGAATCATTTAAATAAGAAAATGGTGTATAACACCATTTCTCTTATTAAAACAAAAACATATTTTGTCATTATTTCTTGACAATCTCTGAAATATATTTTGAAGACAATGTTTAAAAAACTAAAACAAGGAGAAAAAAAGAACACTGAAAGACTTAAAATTATGAAAGAGAATACAATAACAATTGCCTACTAAAACTAGTCAAAGTGTAATAGGAACAAATTTACATGATGGCTACATTAGTTTTTGGTTTTTACATTAGTTTCTCTTTGAGACAATAAGTCTTTAAAATAGGTGAAGTACGCTGATTGATTTCCTTTTTAACTTCTCTCCTCACAGAACCATGATCTCAATTCAAATTCAGTCTAGAAATGCGAAAGCAATAAGGAGAAATACTACCAGCAACTGAACATTTCTTTGTGCTCATCGACTCTCTCTCTTCCAAACCACAGCCATGTTCTTGTCAGTAAGGGCAACCAAGTAATGTAGATCAGGATCCATGGCAATGCCGTTAATAGATGGCCCCTCTAATGCACCCATTCCAGCTCTAACCGGTGATGGCCACTCCAGCACCTGAAATAACATGAGCAAAAGAGGACAATGAGATCCAGGAGCTCTGTATTCAAACATCAACAGCAACCACTCCTCTGGAGTTCACATGCTGAAAAGATAGGATACCTTCTAAAAGGATTGGATGCATCTATACTGTAGCTAATAGGATTATTTTAGTGAGAGATAATGCCAGATTATTTGAAGTGGATTATCATCTTTTCTGCATGACAGAAAAAAGTTAAATAAATAAAACAAAACTGTGAACACATGCCTTTTGGCACATTTAAGATTATCATTAATTCCCAATCCAAGATTTTACATTTAACACATACCGTATGTATCTCTGACCCAGCAATGATGAACTTACCTCAGTAGCTGAGATTGTTTTTCCACTCTTGAATTTTTCCATCATGGTGTCTGTGATATGGTACATCCATAGCCTGCCTTGCTCATCCCCACATACCACATAACCATATCCTACAAGAAAAAACAATCACGCATCAGTTTTGCTTTGAGATTTTCTGCATATCTGAAGTCATATTTCTGGGCTGTTTGAATATGCATAAATGCAGAGAAATCTCACTAGTGATTTGGTACATTATTAATAAGCACGGTCTAGAAAGAGTCTGCATATTTTTTACTAACAAAGAAATAAAAAAAAAAAGTTTTTTTTTTTCTACATTGACATTTGTCCATATGATAGGGCTGCACAATAACAGTAATCACATTGTTTTGCTTAATAAAAAAAAAGTGTTAACATAATGTGGAATTTGATGAGTTAAGGCCCGTTCACACCAAGAACGATAACTATAAAGATAACTATATTAGCGTCCACACCAGCAGATGATATCGTCTGTTTATTCCAAGCGCACACTCGTCTGCCGCTTTAAATTCTCGAGCTTGTGACAGCAGGATTGATTCTGATTAGCTGTCAATGTTTTTATCGTTCATCAGCTGGAAAAAAATCGTTCTGAAAGTGATTCCAAAGATATCGTTTCTCTGTGCCTTTATTGTTATAGCTGTGGTGTGAACAGGCTTTTAGGCTGGCCACACACTTGAAGATTTTAAGGCTGATTTTCAGAACCCTGAACCCTCTGTAGAGTTGCTTTGCAACAATTTGTATCGTGAAAAGCGCTGTACAAATAAACTTGAATTGAATTGAAATTGAACGATTGGCGGGGGACCGTGGCCCGATTCGAGGCTTGTCGCAAACGTTTTTTTTGTCCAAAAAATCCTTTATTGTGTGGTGTCATTACGATGATTTAACTGCTCCTGATCGAGACGGAGCGTGTCTGATAGTAGGCTTGTTTGAGATGAGCAAAATCTGCGCAGAACCGATCACCGGTGATCACCGCGAGATGCATGCCGGTTAGAAAAGTGTCCGAGTTACGTCCGACTTGCTCTGATGTCATGCTGACGTGTGCCAAAAAACTCTCACGAAGGTGAGGCGGCTGTGTAGGATAGTGCAGTCGAGCGCAGTTGCTCTCCACCGACTGCGCTGATCAAAAGCATGATGGGAAACGACTGACTGACGACACAACTCAATGCTCATTGGTTCAGACAACCGTGATGCTGCGTTTTCTTCTAAAATGTTTAAATTTTTTTATCTGGTTCCATGCGATTATGTATTTAAATTATGCATGAATGTTCCCAAACACTATGACAGTGCGATCTCTGTGTGAGTTATGCGATTGTTGTCATATTTCTATAAAAATCTAAAATACATGTTTGTATCAAAGTAAAAATGAATGATAAATACGCCTTTCGTATGGAATTAAATAGCAAGCACTTTGAGTGTCTTGTTCATCATATTTATTTTTATATAAAGGCAACAGAACTGAAATTATATCATGTTAATTAGCAACACAGCATGTGAGTGAGAATAACGCAGTATCCGCCTTTGATCTCGTAGGTCTCTGTTCACTTCGAGAGGTTAGAACTGTCCTTCTTGACTGCGCTTATTTCACTCCTCCCCTCACTGCAGCCGCCTACTCTAGCCTACATTTCAGGCGAGGCGATGCGAGGCGCATCTCAAACAAGCCTATTTTGATATTTACGGCTCTTGATCAGGCTGCCTTTGACGTGATACCTGCAATAGCCAATGAGAGTGAGCAAGCGTCACCTACCGGATGTTGCGTGCTTCTATAGCTGAAACTTGGCAGCCACAAACATGCCACTAAAGTAGAGTACTGAGAAATAACATCACCATATTCTTTTTTTCGGTTTTGTTTTCCATTGTACATCAGAATGCGTGCCAGGAGACCCAGCTGACGATGTCGATTGTCCTCAATGTGTTTTTCTTCTCTAGTTACGTTTTATCTCGCGAGTCTCCATGAGATCTCGTGTCACTGTGAAATCGTTCCTACGATCGTCACGCGGTCTGGCCGAACCATCTAGTGTGCGCATTCAGAGGATCATAACGCTAAAAATCGGTTGAAACTGTCATCATGTCTGTGGTCTCCCATGGTTTTAAAATCGGTTAAGATTTGAAAATCGTCTAGTGTGTCCCAGGCCTTAATATTAGGAATTTCACTGGTTTAGCTATTGACAGAGCTTTTTGTTTTACAAGTTTTCATAATGTAGAGAGTGTTCATTTATATAATAAATATAATACATCAGGAAACTAGATGAGGTAAAATAAACAACAGAAGCTGGTGTTCTAAAACGACAATCGTGAATATAAATTAAAAGAAAAGATCTGATTGGGGAACCTAAACTCAGGCAACTGCAAGCCTGAAAGCTTGTGGAGGCTTGTAACAAAATCCCTTTAAGACAAGTTATTTCACTCGGCGGCCATCTTTGTAACGCCTCTCGGGCATGCAAGTACAGCTCCTATATATTATTTGAATGGGAAACAAAATTTTCAAAAACTGTTCGCCAAGCTTACGATTAAATTTCATATTTGAAATCACCAATGAAATCTGACAACAACTGTCTCATAAATGTTGTTTCTTATGCTCCTCGAGAGCGTTTCGAAAGCATAACCGTCTGTATGGTACTTTGATGTCATACACCGATCGGTCTGTACACGCAAACAAAGCCAAACCTAGATATTTTAGGCAATATAGAAATCCTGGCCAGGACGCGTCCTGGGAAAATTGCACGTATGGTCACCCTAGCGTTGCATTCTTCCCCATTCAAAACTATACGAGTGACACATGTTGGGTATTCTATAGTCTTTGTATAGTATTTTACCAATGTAAGATAAAAATTATGTTTAATTAACTGAAGCAGAAATCATGATTACAATTAAAATACAATCGTATTTTAATTGTGATCATGATTTCTGCTTCAATTAATTAAACTTCGTGCAGCCCTACCTTATGACATTTAATACACATAGGACTTCTAACGGCAGCTGCAGTGACGCGCTGACTTTACCGATTATTGATTGGCTCTTTTACTCAAAATGCGGGGCTTCCTTCGATAGAGCGGCCATATTGAGCATTGCATAGGGTGACCATATGTGCCATCATGAATACCTGGACAGGTGCCTAGAGACAGGTATGGGACGTCCGTGCTGGACCACTGCAGCTCAGCCAGCACAACAGCTGGCACCTCTTTCTTTCTGCCATTCCAAGAAGCCCGTGTGGCCCTCCAGCTCCACAGGTAGATCGAGCCCTGCATGTGGCTCTTGGATGCTGGGAGGAAAAATGACAACCATCATTATTCAACTAGGCCTTCAATATCAGACAGAACAAAGGCCAGAATGCGTTAAAAGTAAATTTCATAGAGTATACTAGGCACAATTTTAAATGGAAAATTTACATGCAAAACTACCAAAAAAGACGACCCTGAAGAAATTATTAGTACAAACATTTTTACATACTTTTAAAATAATGTTATTATTGTTAATAATATTATTATTACTATATACATAGTAGGAAGTTACCTAGCTGGGACTATTTTCAGGCGCTGTGTAATATCAAAAAATATCAGAAAATCGCAACTTTTCATTTTCCTACAGTACACGATGTAACTACAGAAGAGTCAAGTTTTAAATAGGAAAAATATAGAAACTCTTTGGTCATTTTTGAGTGAGATGCTAACGGTCTAATCAGATTCAATGATCTATGCTAAGCTAAGCTAAAAGTGCTACCACCAGACCCGGAGATCGGCTGAATGGATTTGAAAACGGTAAAACTCAACTGTTTAACTCTAGGGGAGTTGGAAAATTAGCCTATTTTCAAAAATAGTGGAGTGTTCCTTTAAATAGAAAACATAGGTTATATATTAAATATATTATTTGGTCAACTAGTCCTAAATTTTTCTTACTGTTTACTCACCCACTATATCATCTGAGAGGAAGCTCAGTCCATCAATAGTCCGGTAGGTGTTTTTCTTGTCCTTTTTCTTGTAAACTGGAAACACAATCTCCATCTCCTCATTTCTGAAAAGCCATGTAAATTACATTAAAGTAACACACACAGATTAATCAGCAGAGGGATGATGATCATTTCTGAACTGATGGAGAACTCAAACCTTTTCTGTGTGTTTTTGCTGAGCTGGATGTCAAAGATATACAGCCCGTCATCACAGCCCGAGAGGAGGTGCGCGTCTGGAGACGTGGGGAGCAGAGAGAGATGCAGAGGAGTGGAGCAAGTCTCCAGGACTAGCAGCTTACTGTAAAAAAAGAAATACAAGTGTAATGCAAAGGTTTGTAAGAATGCAAATGCTTCTGAACAAAAATGCAGCACATTCTATCATTCTAAATGAAGTATTAAAAGATCCTGAACAATAAATAAACAACCTGATTTTGAAGTTGTAATCACGATCCAGTCCACCAATATCCCACAAAAAGATCTTATTTTCATATGTCCCAGCTGTAAACAGAAATAAAGTGATTTTTAGTTACATCTATATAGCTCAACTAAAGTCTCATTGTGTTCACTGATTGCTTAACTCACTGAAGAGAAAGCTAGCGTTGCGTGGACTGAAGCGCATAATGGAAATGGCACGTCGACTGGCACGAAACTCTCCAAATGCCAGGTTGACTCTGGGGTGGATAAGCTTCACCAGACCCCTCTTACCCCCAGCTGCCAGGATATTGCAGGGACGGGCAGAGCCACCTGTCCTGGACATCAGCACCGTGGACCATGCTAATGAGAAGAACTCCTGCAAGACAACAGTGGATGCAACATTACATTTACAGCCACTGGATGCCAGTCAAATGCAGCCCGTTTGCTTTTAACAGAACAGGCTACTGGATTCTTCAGCATCAGTAGCTATGTTCATAATGGAACACATACTGAATGGAATCTCTCTACATACACATTGTCTTTTTCAATAGTATTTGGAAAAGTAGGCACTATGCAATCATTTTAGCTGTTGTGGTGCCACCCAGTTCATCTTAGAAAAATCATGTTTTAAAAAAAGAATTTAATATTACTTCCAGTAATATTAAATCGACCAATAATCAGTTTTACCTATATTTTTAACGACAAAGAAGATTTTTTTTTATCTGATAGTTTTGTTACGTCAAATCCACTGTTTCAAGAATTGCACACAAAACTGCCATTTTGTGGAGCTCCACACATCACATGCGGACAAAAATATATTCATCATGGCCACGAACTGAGAATTTTTCCCCTCATTTTAGTTAAATCGCAGCCATGTATTAAGAATTTGTTCCCATAATTACCTGTCTGTTTTTCTTTTTTAGTAAAACATGGCCATGTTAAACTAATTTGTTCCCTTGTTTTGATTTAATTAAAACGAGTGAACAAACTTCTACAACGTGGCCCCAATTTACCAATACGAGGGAACGAATTCTTAATTCGCGGCCATGATATATTTTTTACCCTCATACCATGTGCAGGGCTCCGTACTGTAACAATATTAATAACTCTGCTAACATGCCATTCTTAACGGACTCTAATGTTACGTATTTGCTGTTTTGTTTGTTATTTTACTGAAAATGTATAACTATTCCAGTAAATTAGTTGTCTCTACTCCTTAGCCTAATAAACAACACCTCAACCTTCATTTTAAACTGTAGTTTAAAACAAATGATTACATTTATGCAAAGTTGATTTACTTGTTATTTGTTTCTCCATTTGTAAATAGTAGACTTTGTCTATTTTTTTTGCCTGCTGTTTTATTGTTGTAAAAATAAAATGAGTAATATTTCAAGATGAACACTTACTGGACTGAAGCAACTTAGGTTTACTTGATTACACAATATTTTAGAAAATAAAAAGTTAAAATATACGAGTATTTAATATGATACATCAGGGTTTTGAGGAATGTTTATTTGTACATCCGTCAATCATTATTGTATTTCAATGCATTTTATGTTTTGCCCCCACAATAAGCTTTGATCATAAAACATTTAAATATTCTTACTCAGACATTACTGGGACATTTAGAGTAACAACTGATATTTATATGCATTTTATGCAAGTAATCTGCTGTGTTCTTATAAAGATCACATTGATTTACATTACAAGATATCAGAATTTTATCATGCTTTTTGGACATAATACATATCAGAAACTGCACCAGAATATACATTTTTGCTCAATTTGGGCCACTGAACAAAATAAGTGTTTAAAGCTCCAAATTCTCCTATAATCATACTATAATGAACCACACAAGCCTGATGTATCAAATATGACACTCAACAAAATGACGCCGATGGCTTTACCTCATTTTCTTTTGTTGGAGTTGTGTCTGTGATTTTGCCTCCTTCTTCATCACTGCATGTCAGTGACTTCAAATATTCCTTTGCAATCATTTCAACCTAAAAAAAAAAAAGAAGCATAAACGGAATGAGGTGAAATGCAACCAAATTTAAGTAAGGTGACCATACATCTTTTTCATACGTCTTTCCTGGACATGTGCTGACCAGGATTTCTAAACTGCCTAAAATGTCAGGGTTTTGACTTTGTTTTCAAACTTGCTGTAGTAGTTCAGTAGTAGTTTGACCAAAAGTGTGCTGGCATTGTACATCAATCGTGGCGTCCAAGATGGGATCTACAGAGAACGCTCAAAGGAATGCAAACACATATACATATATAGTATGAGAATTGTAGAGAGCATGTCAATAGTGAAAGTGAAAGTGACGTGACATGTGGCCAAGTATGGTGACCCATACTCGGAATTAGTGCTCTGCAATTTATCCCATCCAAAGTGCACACACACAGCAGTGAACACACACACACCGCGAACACACAACCGGAGCAGTGGGCAGCCATTTTTTGCTGCAGCGCCTGGGGATCAGTTGGGGGTTCGGTGCCTTGCTCAAGGGCGCGCCTCAGTCGTGGTATTGAAGGTGGGAGAGAGCGCTGTACCCTGCCGGTACGAGTCCGACTCTCTAACCATTAGGCCACAACTTCCCCACAATAGGAAAATAAAGCTAAAACCCATTAGGCAATTAGGCGATTTAGAAACTGGGCCAGGACATGTCTGGGGAAAAAGAGGACATATGACCATCCGAGTGAAGTCTCTATGAATTCAAAATCTATGTCAGGACCACTAAACACAATATTCACACTAGAGTACCCACCCTCCACTTTGTGTATTCACTCAAGGAATTTGGACCATATTTGATTTGGGTGCAGGCAGCATGAACAAATCGCTTCTCTACAGCAGCCAGACTTTGTGCTGTAATGGGATCAGGGAGACTGAAGCTTCGTTCCCACACACCAATCACCTAAAAGTTACCAAAAAAAGCATATTTAAGACACATCGCACAGACAAACTGTTTTCGCTGTGGTCAATGGTTGAAAGTGACAAGTGGAAGAGTCAGTTCTCACCCTCTTCCTGAGGATCTCGGTGCTGCCATGGCGAATATGATGGGCCGTAGAGCTGATATCCTTCCCATTGAATATCCTCAGTTTAGGTAACAGGAAGATCACTTTGTGTTCATCATTGACCTAAAAAACAAACAAAAACATAAAACAATTCATAGACACAACAAGACCCACAGTGTCTAAAATGCCACTAAAGATGCTATTGATTAAAAAAAAACTGTGATTAAAACGTGAGGATTGAATTTCAGAGCATGATTCTCACTGTGAGGTAGAGGTTGTCCTCTAGTCGAAGTTCCTCTACGTTTCTCAGGGCTTCCAGTGACACTACATCCTCCATATCATTGTTTGAGCAGTTAAGGATCTTCAGGGAGGGCAGACAGAGGCCTTTGGGAATCTCCTGCAGCATGTTCCCAGACAAATCCAACTGCTCCAGACTACACAGTTTCGATAGCAGAGGCACAGGCAGATCCTCGCCCTTCAGACCCATACGTGAGAGACTGTGCAGAACAGAGATGACATGATTACATCAGAGCAATATTTTTAAACAATTCAGTTTTTAACATAAGGCCATTACAATAGCCTTTTCTATTCTTTAAAACCATAACACACCACTGTGTGCCCAGGAAACACAAAAATGACTTTCTTACTTGAGGATCTTGATCTGTTCCAATCTGTTTGTCTTTGGAGAGCTCTTCTCCAGTAGTATCTGCTCTGTTATCTTCTCCATGGCTGCACAGTGAAAATGTGAGTATTGTGTCTAATCAGACCTTATAAAGGTGGGCTGTATTGATAACAGGTTTCAGAGACGTAGTAAAACTCTTGCTATTGGATGTTTAGGTGTCAGAACCACAATGTATCTGGTATTGTTATGTAATGATACAGGACAAGTGGCCTATTCACGCCCTATGGGGGCTCTGAACACAGGAGATCGCCGTGAAACTTTTGTAGAGACTAGAGAGAAACATAATTTGCATCCTGTTAATACGGGAAAGGGCCAAGTAAACAAAGAAAATGCGTGGTTATAATGCCGAAACCAATTATTATAACTTATTAAAAACTCAAATTAAAAGTAAAGAAAAAAAGTAAAAGTAAATTAGTAAAATGACGCTAAAAGCAATTTTGAAAGCACAACGACGAAGATATTTAAATGTTGTGCATATTTTCTTTATAACGAAACGTATTTATTAAGTGCTTACAACAATTGACTGCTAAATTCGTAACTGCATGTTCATTGTGCGGTTGCACTTAGGTTTCTTAAATGAAAGTTTTACAGACAAATGTATTGGGTTTAAATCGATTTACACAGCTTACCTCTAATGTACATGCGGAGCAAGAGATCTTTAAATATATAGTACTCGCAGTCACGTGGATTAGAACGGCAGATCGTTTTCCCGGGAAAATACAAATGAACTTTGACCGTCTTTGACGTAAAGTTTGGTTTTGGCGTCACCATTCCGCCATATTGAGTGTGGCACTGTAGTCAGAAAATTTGAGGATGCAGCTACCATAGATATTTATATTCATATCTATGGCAGTTACTGGGGGAAGAAAAAAACAAGCACACTTATAAATATAAACCAGTGGTTCTCAACCAGTGGGCAAATTTCCAAGGGGCCCCAATAAGTCTTAAGTTATTTAATGTAATTATATTAATATAATCTAAATTAAAAAGCTTAAAAATTAAGATGTGCCATCATACGACATGACATCATATTTTGAGTTTTTGTTTTTATTACAGCAGAAGAAGCAGAGGTACATATCAGCTTAGATATGAGGGCCTTTTAATACAGGAGCCACAAGGGTTGAGAACCACTGATACCAAATCAAAAATATTTTAAAAAGTTATACATTTAATGTTTTAATGTAAAAGGCTCACAAATAATGGCATCTTTGCTGAATCATAAGACCTCTTGGATTAAATTATGAAGGGCATGGTTTCATAATCATGTTTTCGACCAACCCCCTAAAATAGCTTTTTTTAAATATATATATTTAGAGCAATTTCTGTTTGCTCTAAATATATAAGGGAATCATTAAATCATGGATGTATATTTAAAGAAAAAAAAAACTAGTTCGATATTATTGCAGCTCATATAATATCCTTTATTCATTCACACAAAATAACAACACAAAATAAAAGAATATTAATTTATTAAGAGTTAAAAATAATCAGTTTACTGTTGTTTGTAAAGAAAACAGTACATACATTCACATATCAAAGCAAAGGCAGCTTATAGAGGTACACCCTTAAAGCTCAGTGCTATATCTAGCAACTCTGAGCCCAGTTTCTCCTGCTCTCCTTCCTTTAGAAACTCCTCAGACAGCTCCCGGAAGGTGCTGCACACTCTGCGCCTGTGAATGTCTTTCCTGTGGATGGCATGTTTCCACCGGTGAGGTGACGTGCCATAGAGTACAATCAGTGATCTGCGTGGTGAATGCACGGCTACTCTCACCTCCCCATCGTCCATGTCTCCCCAGCCTCGATCTAAACTCATCGTGAGGACAGTGTCTGAGAGCAGGTTAATGGTGACCAGGTGCTCTCCCCACAGCCAACTATCATCGTGAGGGTCAATGGCAGAGCCTCTGAGGGGATCATAGTCTAGATTGCACTGCTCTACTGGTTTGAAGGAGGCCAACTGAGGTGCCTTTGACATCCTGTCCACCAGGTGACGGCTCATAGCAGGCAGGCCAGTGAAGTTTCCTACACAAACACGTTTCTTGAAGTTCACCTTTGGCCCAAAGTCCTGTGGATATATA